AACACCGTTGAGTAGGCATTCAAATGTGAATTATTTATTGTAATTTATATACAAAATATATTTCGTTTTTGATTGAAGTCCCGGTCTTATACTAAACGAAAGATTAAAAAGTATAACGAGTCCCGAAGAACTGGCAGCTACGGTCAAACAAATACCACTTCAAAGTCTGGGACAGCCTATAGATGTGGCCAATGGGGTCGTGTATTTGGCTTCAGATGACGCCCGGTATATAACGGGCACTAATCTGGCCATTGGCGGCGGACTAAATTATATGTCATAAATATTTATAATTACTAAATTTTGTCAACATTTCCATTTAATTAAATCAAATGAAAATTTTCATTTACAATATTTCTAACTACTGAATCAATATTTTGAATATAACTTCTTCAATAAACATTTATTAAAATGTTTGAAAAAATAATTTAATACTGTATTATATTTTTATGAAATACAATAAAATCTAAAAAATAGTCTAAAATACTTTACTTGTATGTATGGCCATCCTAAAAATCTATACCGTTGTAATACTGGTCAGTAAGTCTGCCCCTATATAAACATTATCATTATAATAATAATAAATATTTTTTATCATAATAACTAAAAATGCATATCCATTAGTAGTGTTTTGTATGACACAAACACCATTGAAATAGTGGTCATACCGGAGGACATACATCTAATATGGGATATCGCGTGTCAGAGACACTGCACTCCAATGCTAGCGATTCTGTTGTGCACTTCACGCTCATTGTGTTGCCGTATAATAGACCCCAGAGCTAGGATTTTAGGTATACCCAGTCGTATACTCTTGTAGTATACCATTGACTACCAGTGCACAGACACACACACCGACACAAGTCGACTGACTGTCTCACTGGTAAAACACAATACAATATTCATATGCGATATTTTCGGGTAATTGTTGTCCATTAGGTTTCGCTCATACAATGGTTTTGAATGAATCGATCGCTGAATCCATTGTTGAATTTATTTTTTGCAATAATTTTGCCGTTTTTAGCCATTATTCTCACCACTAAAGTGAACATTAAAATAGTTTTTTCTCACAAATAATTGCTGTCGAAATGAGCAAAAAGTAAACGTATTTTCATGCCTTTAAAACCATAATATTTTACTTTAAAAACTTCATAAGAATATTTCAAATAAAATAAAATCTTATCAACATAAAATATCTAATTTATATATTCCTATTAATTCATGTATTATGAATAAAATAAAAATTTTATATACAGTAACAGTATTACTAGATATTACTGTATATTAAATTAATAGCTTGAACATACCGGTAAATAAACTTTGTGAACAAATCCTTTAAATAACTATTTACTTATTTATGGCAAGATTTATAACAAGCATATTTTGTTTTGTTTTTGAGGTATAATTTATAATCGTCTCATCATTCAAAGTGATTGTTAAACACACAATTTTAGCAAACATTTTATGCTTAAAGAGACAAATATTTTATTTATGCCACACTTAATGCCGTGTAAAACACTATACAGTACTTTGATGTGTGTTATTAACAACACATTTAAGCCGTTATGCTATAATTTGTAAAACATTTTGTAATTTTAATCACTCGTATGGTGTGGTATGTTTGGCATATCATACACACCTGTACTGTATGTTAGATGTTAAGTATTGTTAGGATTAAAATAAAATATTAATTTAGGATTTATGGCGTTGCGATGCCTAACACACGAGTGAATACTGTTTTAATAATGATTAATACATTTATCACTGAATATATTATTTATTATTAAATAACAATTTTAAGCGTATTGTATATGAATTTCATGAGTTAAGCGAATAAAATAATAATAAATATCTCATAAAAGGTTAGTAAAAGACTTTTGTATGAGAGATAGAGAGGTAAGGGATAGGGTATAGGAAGTCATAAGATAATGCATTCTTGAAATAGAAATATATTAATATTTTATTAGTCCTGCAATGAAACCATTTTTATGTAAGTATTGTGTCTAAACATTAACTGTAATAGTAAAACATCTTTAATGAAGTATTGTTTTTTTAATATAAATCACACATTAATATAAATTTGTTATTCTTAAATAATCATGTTTATTTATAAAAGTTAATTTAAGAAAATAAATAATTTTTGTATAATAATTAAATATAATTTCATACAATTTATTTAACAGATATTCTTAAATATTGATTTCAATCACAGTTTTCTATTTTAATTTATACATAAAGTTTATTGTTAAACTTACTGTATTATGTGATACTGTTCATTATAAATATAATATTATTAATAATTAAATAATTGTGCATCACATATATATAATCTTAAATATTTTATGAAAACATTCAAATAAATGCTAAGAAAATTCAATTTCCGGCACAACTTCAGTACAAATGCGGATCGGAAATACTCAGCCATTGTTTTGATGGCACTGTTCGTGTGCTATAAGAGGGACAGTAGTCTCACTTTGTCTGATCACTATAAATACTGTGAACACCAATTGCTTATCTATTATGATTTATGAGAATATTGTGTATTGAGCTCACAGTCTGCACCACTTTCTATACAATGTCTGGTCTGTGTTTTGTATGTGAGAATAGCCGTGAAAATTGTTAGACAACTCCCCGTCCAATACAATACAGAATTAAACAATACATTTGAGAATAGAGTCGAGTTTTAATATTGCACATAAATTGTACTATTTTTTCGCTTGTCATCTTGGTAATCTACTCACAGTTTCATAAATATATTGTCCAAATATCAATAGTGTATGAAAATAAATTCATGTGGATATATATTAACGATAATTTATCATTGAAAAAGTTTTTAATTCATTTAATTTCATTATTTTGTTATAACTCCGATTAGGACCTAAAGTACTCGAGTTTTAAGATATAATAAATATATTTAAATTATCACTAAGTCTAAAAAGTTATTTCATATCATAGTTAATCATTGATAAGGTTATTTATTAAACATAGTATAATAGCTGTAATTTAAATTATATTATAGAGGATTACATTTATAATCTAAATTTTAATATTAATGGTGTTATTATATTAAGTATAATTTCTATAATTTTAGTACAGTCTCAATAGATATAAATGATTTTGGTTTACCTCATAAATTAATGGTATAATAATTAATTAATATTTAAAGTCAAGATTTTAATCGATGGCATAATTATTAAAAAATACAAACAAATTTATATTTTTAATATTTGCTTCATGAAATCAATTAGTTATAAAATAATACCCGGCTCAGCAACATAATACCGGTGCCCCTCAGCCACATTATCAATAAAAATAACCTCTTTTTATGGATAATCTGCATCAGGATTGACCTGATCTCACAATTTTCAGACAAATTTTAATCGATTATATTTATATATTAATATTATTTTACGCTCACAAACGGCTNAGCCATTATTCTCACCACTAAAGTGAACATTAAAATAGTTTTTTCTCACAAATAATTGCTGTCGAAATGAGCAAAAAGTAAACGTATTTTCATGCCTTTAAAACCATAATATTTTACTTTAAAAACTTCATAAGAATATTTCAAATAAAATAAAATCTTATCAACATAAAATATCTAATTTATATATTCCTATTAATTCATGTATTATGAATAAAATAAAAATTTTATATACAGTAACAGTATTACTAGATATTACTGTATATTAAATTAATAGCTTGAACATACCGGTAAATAAACTTTGTGAACAAATCCTTTAAATAACTATTTACTTATTTATGGCAAGATTTATAACAAGCATATTTTGTTTTGTTTTTGAGGTATAATTTATAATCGTCTCATCATTCAAAGTGATTGTTAAACACACAATTTTAGCAAACATTTTATGCTTAAAGAGACAAATATTTTATTTATGCCACACTTAATGCCGTGTAAAACACTATACAGTACTTTGATGTGTGTTATTAACAACACATTTAAGCCGTTATGCTATAATTTGTAAAACATTTTGTAATTTTAATCACTCGTATGGTGTGGTATGTTTGGCATATCATACACACCTGTACTGTATGTTAGATGTTAAGTATTGTTAGGATTAAAATAAAATATTAATTTAGGATTTATGGCGTTGCGATGCCTAACACACGAGTGAATACTGTTTTAATAATGATTAATACATTTATCACTGAATATATTATTTATTATTAAATAACAATTTTAAGCGTATTGTATATGAATTTCATGAGTTAAGCGAATAAAATAATAATAAATATCTCATAAAAGGTTAGAAAAAGACTTTTGTATGAGAGATAGAGAGGTAAGGGATAGGGTATAGGAAGTCATAAGATAATGCATTCTTGAAATAGAAATATATTAATATTTTATTAGTCCTGCAATGAAACAATTTTTATGTAAGTATTGTGTCTAAACATTAACTGTAATAGTAAAACATCTTTAATGAAGTATTGTTTTTTTAATAAAAGCACACATTAATGTACATTTGTTATTATTAAATAATCATGTTTATTTATAAAAGTTAATTTAAGAAAATTAATAATTTTTGTATAATAATTAAATATAATTTCATACAAATTATTTAACATATAAAATTTGAAGATTTTCTTAAATATAGATTTCAATCACAGTTTTCTATTTTAATTTATACCGTATAGCCAAATAGCTTGGTACAGTACACAAATATACAAGGCTTTGCGTTGTACATGTAGTAAATGTGGATACAATATTTTAACCGTTTAATGCTATGCCTAAAAACGAGTCCCAAAATTATGCCCAAAATATGAATCAATTCTCAATTAAAAAAGATAAATTAAATACGATAATAAACCAAAATAAATAATAAGCAAATTTAAATAAATAGTATATTAACTAATGGGTTAACTAATGTTAATTAAGTACCTTAAGTAAGTAAGTTAAGTAAGAAATCGTTTGATCTCTGGCTGTGATGTGTGAACATCGGCTCCACTGACACGTGAACCTCACTATTGTATTGAGTGTCTGGCCTGTCATGTCATGTCACAGGGAGTACACAATTCATTGAACCCATTCATTAGCCCACAGTATTATCATTGGTGTCATATCGGAGAGAGTTTTTTGGACACATTTCTAGTGAAAATGCTTTTAAATTATGCTTTTAAGTGTTTTAAACAATAATCAGTGAAACAATTTTGTTGCACTTTAAAAAGTGCAATTTTAGTGCAGTTTTAGTGCAATATAATTAAGGTTATAATATTTATATAAATACAACTAAATTTAAATACAAATCATATTAACTTATGTATTGTAGTAAATTATAAAATACAGTCTAATAAATTATAGTTAAAATAATGTATTTTAGAAGCATTTTATTGTTGGTTATTATATCAATAGTGACCGCAAATATTGACCCTGGGACAAATGGTCGTAATTTTACAGGTAAAGTAGTTTTGGTGACCGGGAGTAGTTCTGGCATCGGAGAGGTCACCACCAAAGAGTTCTCCAGATTAGGAGCTAGTGTTGTGATCACCGGTAGGAAAGCCACAGATATTAGTCGTGTGGCTCAAGAGGTTCAACAACTATCGCCGTATAAACTGAAGGTAATTAGAAAATCACAAAATAACTTAAAAATACAAATAATTGTCAACAAAAATGTGAAGCCTTTAGAAATTGTGGCCGATTTGGCGAAACCCGAAGACGTGAACCGATTGGTCAACGAAACCATCAAAACGTTTGGAAAGTTAGATGTATTGGTCAATAATGCGGCCGTTTTTTATGCCTCAGCCATCGATGATAAAAACCTGATCGAGATGTTTGACCGGACTATGGCGGTCAACCTGCGGGCCCCCTTACAGCTCATACAACTGGCCCATCCCTACCTAAACGCCACCAATGGCTCCATTATTAATATTGGTGCTGTCAGAGTGCCGAGTATTGTATGCAATCTACCTGTCCCATATAAACTACACTATATTCATATTCATTATAATTGAATCGATAGGTCGTACGATCAATACCAGCCGGTGTGAGTAAAGCAGGTCTAGACTACTCGGTCAAAGTATTAGCCCTGGCGTTAGGGCCCCGGGTTAGGATCAACGCTGTTGAGTAGGCATTCAATTGTGAATTATTTATTGTAATTTATATACAAAATATATTTTGTTTTTGATTGAAGTCCCGGTCTTATACTGACGGAAAAATTAAAAAGTATAACGAGTCCCGAAGAAATAGCAGCTATGGCTAAACAAATACCACTTCAAAGTATGGGACAGCCTATAGATGTGGCCAATGGGGTGGTGTATTTGGCTTCAGATGACGCCCGGTATATAACGGGCACTAATCTGGTCATTGGTGGCGGAATAACTAATTAATTTAAGAAAATAAATAATTTTTGTATAATAATTGAATAAAATTTCATACAATTTATATAACATATAAAATTTGATGATATTCTTAAATATAGATTTCAATCACAGTTTTCTATTTTAATTTATACATAAAGTTTATTGTCAAATATACTGTATTATGTGATACTATTGATTATAAATATAATATGATTAATAATTAAATAATTGTGCATCACATATAAATAATCTTATATATTGTATGAAAACATTGAAATAAATGCTAAGAAAGTTCAATTTCCGGCACAACTTCAGTACAAATGCGGATCGGAAATCCTCAGCCATTGTTTTGATGGCACTATTCGTGTGCTATAAGAGGGACAGTAGTCTCACTTTGCCTGATCACTATAAATACTGTGAACACCAATTGCTTATCTATTATGATTTATTAGGATATTGTGTATTGAGCTCACAGTCTGCACCACTTTCTATACAATGTCTGTGTTTTGTATGTGAGAATAGCCGTGAAAATTGTTAGACAACTCCCCGTCCAATACAATACAGAATTAAACAATACATTTGAGAATAGAGTCGAGTTTTAATATTGCACATAAATTGTACTATTTTTTCGCTTGTCATCTTGGTAATCTACTCACAGTTTCATAAATATATTGTCCAAATATCAATAGTGTAGGAAAATAAATTCATGTGGATATGTATTAACGATAATTTATCATTGAAAAAGTTTTTAATTCATTTAATTTCATTATTTTGTAATAACTCCTGGTGAAAGTACTCGAGTTTTAATATCTAATAAATATATTTAAATTATCACTAAGTCTAAAAAAGTTATTTAATATGATATTTAATCATATTTAATCATTGATAAAGTTATTTATTAAACATAGTATAATAGCTGTAATTTAAATTATATTATAGAGGATTACATTTATAATCTAAATTTTAATATTAATGGTGTATTTATAAAAGTTTAATTTCTATAAATTTAGTACAGTCTCAATAGATATCAATTATTTTGGTTTACCTCATAAATTAATGGTATAATAATTAATTAATATTTAAAGTCAAGATTTTAATCGATGGCATAATTATTAAAAAATACAAACAAATTTATATTTTTAATATTTGTTTCATGAAATCAATTAGTTATGAAATAATGCCCGGCTCAGCAACATAATACCGGTGCCCCTCAGCCACATTATCAATAAAAATAACCTCTTTTTATGGATAATCTGCATCAGGATTGACCTGATCTCACAATTTTCAGACAAATTTTAATCGATTATATTTATATATTAATATTATTTTACGCTCACAAACGGCTAACAAATCATATTTTGTATTTAAATTATAATTTAGAGCATATCATGAGATAAATATAAAAATATTGTTTTATATAAACTTGTAAATTATAATTCAAATAAAATCTAAGCAACTGTGTCTGTATATAGTGGTAAAAGTTATGGACCCATTTGTTACACATTTTTTGATTGCCCCCTTGTGTAACACCACCATAGGGAGGGCTATGTTTGGGGCTAATATTGATTCAGTAACACATTTATACACTTTTATTGTATTCCCTTGTATATATATAAATAGTGGCCAAAAATACATGATTTATTACGTGTGAAATTCATATATTATTTATTACACACACCAAACAAAACATAACAAAAACACCTCCGAAAACAAAACCTACTATTGTATTGAAATGAAAAGCAAAATAAAAAACGGAAAAAGCAGTTATTGAGCGAAAAAAGTTTATTTATGTGAACAGAAAATCATTTTATTTTTTGCGCTAATGTTTTGCGCCTATTATTCGCAGGTATTGTATGTTTTCATTGTGCGCTTAATCTTAATAATTGAATCCAGACTCCACTGAAAGCCGTATAAATTTCTGTTATATACCATTCAGTCCATTATAATTGTATTCAATATTACAGGGAGTTATGTATACGTGAGTTGTATTGTCACCAGGGTCACAACCTTATATGCAAACAAAAATAAAAAGTAAAATATATACTCTACATATTTTAACGATATATTTTAAGAAACTAATAAATTATTGTTATCATTTAATTATGCAAAATAATGTTTTGCTTTATTTATTAGATGTTTAAAATACTTTTAATGAATTTACGCCCAAATACTCAGTAAAATTAAAATACATTTGCTTCAGTTGTGCACTAAATTAAACAGTTTTGTTTTTCAACAACCCTAATCCACGTATAATACACATTGATACCTTATTTAACTACGTGAACATACCTGTCCATTTCATTCATACAAATTAATCATTTAAAACAGGCATTAACTCGTTATCCCATGCAAACTGTTATCTCATATACTTTTTAATTAATTAAAATTGTAAAAATAGTTTTTTATTTTTAAATATCGCCTACACTTGAGAGAGAGAGAGAGAGAGAGAGAGAGAGAGACTTACATTATAAATCTATTTTCTAATTAATTCATAAAGCAATATGCTAACATTAATGTTTAATGTTATCTCATATACTTTTTAATTAATTAAAATTGTAAAAATAGTTTTTTATTTTTAAATATCGCCTACACTTGAGAGAGAGAGAGAGAGAGAGAGAGAGAGAGAGAGAGAGACTTACATTATAAATCTATTTTCTAATTAATTCATAAAGCAATATGCTAACATTAATGTTTACTATAATTAATAAACATTTCATATTACAGTTATGTCTTAAAATATATTTCTCTGTCATATATTCGCCTACAAAGTGATGCACACATGGATGTGAAAGTCAGTCCACACCCGCTATTGTTATATGATTTCCCCGTTCAGGTGCTATCATAACAGGAATGCTTACTATTTCCCTGAAAACACTGAAATCTCGTCCAAATTTTACCGTAAAATCAATTTCATGAAAATAATATCTGCCTTAATATCAAGTATTTTCTCTAAAATAAAGCAATAAATCAGTGAATATTAGTGAAAGTATTTCTCGTTATTAATATTTTTCAAACGAATTTTGAGCTGAAAATCAAGTTTTATTAAAATCTTCTGTTAATTTCTCGCATGAGTTATGGGTTTTATGTCTTAACGTATGGCTTATGGGCTAAAGAACCGGATGAATGATGCAAACAATTTTGCCTCTAATTTATTAATTTTTAAAATATGTTTTTTCATAAAATTTAATTTATTCATAATTAAAGGCTGTAATCACTTATACTGTAATCATCTGTAGTTATAAAATGCACACAATATTGAGTAATTTGATAAAACATTCAATCACATTTTATGTATTTTTATTACAGTCTAAATTAAGTAATCTATATTCAACTTATTTCTAAGTGATTCTGTTATCCAGATCTTATTATCGTTATATGATATAACTTATATCATTATATTTTTATAATATTATATTCAATTTAATTTAATTTACTATTATCCTTTAAAAATGGATTACAGTTTCTTT